TTTACCGATGTCAGTCATCCATATGTGGAGGTGTGGTGCTCGTATAAAATGCTCGGTTTGCTGACAACGCCACATGGGGGAGTTTCGCCCCCAGGAAATTACTAAAACTAAAGTTTATCCAATTTAATAAAAGGCAATCAGGTTCGTTTGAACACCACAGGCAGAGACAGTGTAAAGGATAATACCACAATGGTTATTTTATTTATACATAATTACATTTCTAATCATAAACAATATCATTTTCTAAAAATTCTCCAGGGAGGAGGGAGAAGGACATTGCTGGGGCTTACCATGGCGGCAATTAACAAAACGGGGAGGGAGCAGATTTGTCACCTCCACTTAAATAGCAGGTGCGCCAACCCAGTCTCATAAAAAAACGTGTAATAACTACGTTGGTCCACAACGTAGGACGTAGTATTTCTACAAAAACGCCTCTGAAATTGTAAGATCCCTACGTTTTTTTTCACCATTCATTCCAATGGTTGGCGTCTATGTCACGTGATCTTCACATTTCTCCCTTCAGAAAAAAAAAACATGGCCGAACTTCGTTTTATTCTCGGTGTAAAATGCCTATTTTAAAGTTAGTTTGGCCATTAAAATGCGTTTTGATGTCATTTGATGCGAGAAATATGAGTTGTTATTTCAGATTATGTGTGCAGTTGATGCACATGATCTTTAGTTTGCTAGTTATTACGAAGATTACTTCAGGAAATTGTGTCGATACAACGTTTTCATTGTTACCAAGGTGGTTGCTAGGGACGCTGCTATCGATATTATTTCTGTTATGTTGTGTAACAGTTTAATGGTGTAATCTTTATTGCTACCCCCTTCCCCGTCAATGTATAGTGTTGGTCCACAGCGCAAACGTATTAGTTAAACAAAATCCGCATCTAAAATTGTGGCATAGATACGTTATTTTCCCCTGTGCAATTCCAGTCTCACATCTCACATCACATCGTCATAAACAAATACCGGAAACAGACCGAAAACACTTTATTCCGAGTATGCTTGCTTTTCTCTTTGAAAGTCATCACATAACGTCATTGTAATACACGGTTCGGCTGCATTAAATATGACATATCTGCCGTAGTTCTCTATTTATAGAGCCCTGATGAGAAGACTTCTAGACAAACATGAGGAACTGCCGCCAACACTGAAAACGTGACATGGATCATAAATATATCAGCCATTAAACAACATATTACATTTCTTTTCACACAATACGTCTCCTTTCAGTATCAACACTAATTCGGCGGACTTTTATATTTGATCCAATTGGTAGATAGGCTGTATTTACACCATAAAGGTGCACAGCTGATATAAAGGGACACCTAGTGGTTAAAGCATGTTATTGAATTTCATTATTTTTATTATTAGATATTAATAGGATCCCTATAAAGTATATTCATTACTCGTTATTCTCTACTAATAGTTAATTAAAGACTGTATATAATGACTATTTTGCACATCCCTTTCAAGATTTCAAGATTTTCTAAGGTTTATTGACATATTATACACAAACGGTGTAGTTATGCAATGAATGAAAAACTTTGTGTATACCTCCAGCAATGTTAACTATGTTGAAGCACTTATTTTAACTGATATTATACATATATATTATACTCTTATATAAGATGTATGTAGATAGTATAAGAAATGTGCAGAATACGACAGTTTAATGGTGGAGGTATACACACATATTGATAGATGTCTTGTAATGCACTGTTGAGGAACCTGCGACCAAAGTTTTTCATCTCCGGCCTTGTCAGGTATCGAACAATAAATAAATAAAGAACACAGAATTATTAAATATAAAACACAGAATTTGTGTGATTATACTAAATGATTTACAAATAAACACCACTGCATATTTACAACTGTTACACATGCTGATGTAACGCAAATGTTTTCAACTTGGGATCAATAAAGTATATCTTATCTTAAGATTATCGATGGCTACTGCCATATTTGCAAAATGTGCCTCTGAACCTTGACAAGTGCATGTTTCAGGCTTATCAATTAACAACAGGAGGGGTCACAAACATAAGACCAGCTGTTAAATAAAGCTCTTCTGACCTTAGCTGGCATGTGGGTAATGCTACCCATTATGGGCACAAGCAATTTTCACCCATTTATTAATGATATGTTTTACATTTGAGTGTTTCCTATCCCCTAAACCTCCAGGGATGTACACAGTTTAATACTGGCAACTTCTTCTTATGGGAAATACGAAAACGTCTTTTAAAACTACAACTCCCAGTAGAGACGTGCCATAGAACATGTTGCGAACATGGTTGCGAAACACAATAGCCAGCATGTGTAGTTCTGGGGACGGGGTGGGGGAGGGGGGGACGGGGTGGACCCGTTCAAATCCAGTTTTTGTTTTTTTCTGCCGTGGTTCCATCCCATTTCAAGTGCTGTTCGACGCTCGGCACACTCTCCAATCACAGAGCTTGAAGACTATCACGGGGTTTGTCAAGCGAAGCGGAGAGAATACTTACTTCCGGGTGAAATATTCTGTAAAGCAAATGAGCTGCTCCGACCCTCGGTCATGACGGACTCCAACTTGTGTTTATTAATCAAACAAATAAATAAAGACAAGGATAATTATGTGTTATTGTTGAGTAAATGGAGAATTGCACAGGGGAAAATAACGTATATGCCACAATTTTAGATGCGGATTTTGTTAAACTAATACGTTTGCGCTAAGGGTTAACTAACACTATACATTGACGGGGAAGGGGGTAGCAATAAAGATAACACCATTAAACAGTTACACAACATAACAGAAATAATATCGATAGCAGCATCCCTAGCAACCACCTTGGTGACAATGAAAACGTTGTATAGACACAATTTCCTGAAGTAATCTTCGTAATAACTAGCAAACTAAAGATCATGTGCATCCACTGCACACATAATCTGAAATAACAACTCACGCATTTTAATGGCCAAACTAACTTTAAAATAGGCATTTTACACCGAGAATAAAACGAAGTTCGGCCATGTTTTTTTTTTCTGCAGGGAGAAATTTGAAGATCACATGACATAGACGCCTACCATTGGAATGAATGGTGAAAAAAAACGTAGGGATCTTACAATTTCAGAAGCGTTTTTGTAGAAATACTACGTCCTACGTTGTGGACCAACGTAGTTATTACACGTTTTTTTGTGAGACTGGGTTGGGTGCGCTGGCATGGTGCCAAGCAGCGTCACAGAGGGAGAAGACATCCGGTCACATCTACCCCCCACTTTTGCATCGTCGACCCGACGGTGAATATAAGAAGGCGAATGCTAGCACCAAGGCCTGAAAACGGCAGATTGGGAATTAGACACAGGCAGGGGCGGCGCCAGGGGGGAGCTAGGGGGTGCTGAAGCACCCCCCAGAATTGCCAAAGCACCCCCAAGAAATATGTTTTTTTTTTTTTTTTTTAGAAAATTATTATTATTTTTATTAAATTAAATTAGAAAAATTATTGATTACATCAATGCAAATGTAAAACAAACACATTTTTGACCAAAAAGATAAAGCCAACACAGGTGATATGATTAGGCCAATGGCCAGCACCCATTCGATTTTTGACCTACCCATAGGCTAAATTACTTTGTGACACTTGAGTGACTTCCTGTTAGCTAGAGCGCCAAATTATTTGCTAACATCGTTTTTTAGTCCTTAAACGTGGACACTCAATTAAAACCACCTGAAAGCGAGAGGGATTCTGCACATAATAGCATAGCCTCGTGAATAAAAGTAGCTTACTTCTGGGCCTCTGTGTTTCATTCAAGCTCTGCTCTGTGTGTGTGTGTGGCACGAGCCATTTTGTGTCCGTGCGCGAGCGAGCGAGAGAGAGAGCTCGCGCACAGGTGGGTATCTACTGGAGATCGTTGTGGTTAGCATCTGGTGCTAGCTAGCCAAGCTAACGGATATAAGGAGCTTTTTCAACAACAAGGTGGAGGGAGAACTATCTCCTGTCAGACTGAGAGTCTCAGATAACCTCAGCTCAGGTGAAGTAAAGGACTCTCAGTGTTTAGATAGTTAACTTTAGTCTAGTTATCTCAGTGGGTCTCAAACGGTTTGTTTTAAAAGGGGAGTGATTTGGAAAATATCTATAAAGAAATAGAAAATCTGTTTACAGCTCTGTTTCATATGGGTGTTGTTGAGAGATGTATCCATAGATCTCTTAATGTTGCTCTCAAAGTGCACCAGATTGATGCTTTTAACTTCCCGGGGAAGCATGCCCCCGGACCCCACTAGAGGAGGTGAGGTCCCTCCTAGAGGAGGTGAGGACGGTCCACCCCCCACTTGTAAAAATAGCACTTTACCCCTGCTTACACCTATATGCCGTGAGCTGATTATCGAGCCTTCATTGTAACAGTCGCGGTTGCACTGTGTGTGCGTGTGGGGAGTGTTGCAGTAGAACATTCAACGGTATTGCCGCTGGTGCATTAATGGGAAACCCTTAATGTTTGAGCACCCTCTATGAAACGTCAAGCTACCCCACAGCACCCCCTAGAGAAAATCTTTGGCGCTGCCACTGGACACAGGGGCTCAAAGTGGACTCGCTGCATTGTCCTGAGGGCCAGTAGACCGAGGAAGATGGTGAACATTTGAGTGGTGGCCAGCCGTAGGGCGAACGGTTCGACGCTGAAAGACCTGGGAGGAAGCAACCTGCAGAGTGAGGCGCTTCCTGAACAGGCCTGGCCTGCAAAGGGGTTCCTTCACTAGATGGAGCCTTCACAACCTGGTGGACCACAGAGCTCCAGAGATCCTGGATTTGATGTCGCCCTCTAACCCCAACCCCATGGTCCCTCAGATACACCATTTGCCAAACTGGGCGCCACGGAGCAACGGTGGGCGGCCCAGCTCCGGTCACACATACAATAGTTGTTGAGAGACCAAAGGGATGGCGGACTAAACTCAAACATGGTTAAAAATGATCTATCTCATACTATATGATTGTTTGTGCAATGATGTTGTCCCCTCTGTGTGTGTCCTGTAGGAGTGGCTGGATTTGCGCTGCAGAGGTGTTCGCAATGCCAACGCCTACATCCTGGTGTACGACATCTGCTGCGTGGAGAGCTTTGAATACGTCAAGATGATCAGACAGCAGATAGTGGAGTACAGGTATGACGACAACCCGCTCTCAGCTAGGATGATTGTTTCTGAACATTCAGCAGAGTGACATACAGCTTGTTTACCCTCAGCGTTGATTTCTAATCACATCACCATTTCATCCATCTGGTGACAGCTTGCCATTTCACAGACCTTCCACAAAGCAGGACAATTACACGTCTGTGACAGCGTGACAGTGAAAGTCTGCGCATGGTGCTATATTTTAATTTAGCATAGTCCTCACTGCATCCTGACAGCTTAGTAATGACATTTAATGCTGTCATTTCTGCACGAGAGCAGCCTGACATTTCAGTAGTGATTTTGAAGATACATTTGTGGGTATATTTTTCCTTTTGTTAGACAGAGCACAGCTACAAGAAAACAGGAAGTATAAGAACCAGAGGGAGATGTAATAAATGTCTCCTGGCAGGCTTTGAACACACGCAAGAGGCAGAAAGAACCTTACACACTTGTGGGGGGAAAAATACCAATGAAAGGCATCACCTGCGCTAACATCCTCGCTGTTGGCATTCCTGCATATATTTACATATTGAAAGAGTACAATGAGTGGCCTCATTTGTGCTGCTATGTATGTACACGGCCAAACTGCCAGTGCACAGATCATCCCCACCTACCTGCGGCTGCAAATGTGTTGCCATGAATGTCCATAGCCTGTGACAGAAAACCATTATCACCAGCAACTAGAGGGAAGGAAGGAAGGGTGAATGGAAAACAGGAAAACTGTATAATCAAAAAGCTCTGAGACCAGACTGCAGACGGGAAGGACAAAGCAGAGAAGAGACAGATACTGAAATATTGAATAATGGAGGCTGTTGCAGCACGAGTGGGGAGGAGGGGTGTACTATAAATGTCAACTATAGAAAATATAATCTTAAAATGCTCAGCACAATTCTGTTGACATAATCAGTTGAAACCAGAATTAACTTGTTTTTCTATTTTCTTTGGCATTTTAGTATGAAGCCCACCTCAGGGAAGATGACGCACAGACTCACACATACATCACATCCGGCTTTAATACACACGCTCAAGCAGATATGTGAGGAGATATGTTTGAGTCTGTTTTTTCGAGAGCACAACCTTTGAAAAAAGGGAAATTGCGATAATAACTGCAATGTGTTTTCTCAACCCTACATCTTTGAGAACTTCGCCTCAGATGGCTTGAAAACGATACTGTACATTTCTCTCTCTGCTTTTTCTTTCCGCCAAGCTATCTGTCCATCTGTGAAGGCAGACGTGCAAATATGCACATGCATGCAAGTACTTGTCAGAGGCACGATGTATAAAAAAAAAAACATTCTGCAATATTCTGCATAAGTGAAAGCAGCAGCTTTAACAATATATACCATATTTGACATTGAGCTGAACAGGTTAACAGATGTCTTGCTCTTACACTCCTCACTGCTGCCTTGAGTTTAACAATGTGCCTTTAATAGTGAATTCAACTTGAGGTAGGATAGTTGTTATTTTTCAAGAAAAAACCTCTTTAAAGCTCCCTGCTCTCCTGCCTTTGGCCCTCAACCAAACAGAAAGCAGAGGTAAAAATGTATCTCATTGTAATAAATCCGATTAACATAATGAGCCTTCTTTCCTTCACGGTATTTGCTCTAAAATCCTTTTTGTACTTTGCTGTAGTCAACGTTCTCTCATTTAAAGTAGAGCTTCAGATTGGATTTCCAAACTCCCACTAATCCATGTTACTATGGACTTCTCCTAGATGTTTAATTTTTTAACACTGTAACAAGCATTATACTGTAAATCCCAAGTCACTTATTTATTCCCACCTCTGGCTTTCTATACATGTTAACCCTTCATGATGCTGTGCACCAGTTGCAGCAGAGAGTGGTGGGAGGCCCCCTGAGCCTTGGAGCACTAATCCTCCAGTCCTCCCCCGCACACCTCCGAAGGAAGGGAAAAACACAGGCATTTTGCGCACTCCAAGCCACCGACAAAAACACACAAATATTGGTGCTTTTTTAAATTAACCTTTTTCTTTTCTGGTCTCACTTGCCCCCGCAGGGAAGGCAGCAGCAGTGAGGTGCCAATCCTGGTGGTGGGCACCAAGAGAGATCTGCAGCGGCAGCGCTTCATGCCTCGCAGGGCGGTGTCAGTCCTGGTGAAAAAGACCTGGAAGTGTGGCTATGTGGAGTGCTCAGCCAAGTTTAACTGGCACGTCGTCCTGCTCTTCAAAGAGCTGCTGGGCATCGCTGTGTCACGCGGCATGCGCGGGAACCACACCGCCATCCGCCTGCAGGGGGCGCTGCAGAGGAACCGCTGCAGCATCATGTGACCCCGAGAGCTCCCTCCAGCCCTCTCACCTCAGGAGTGGAGGGGCAGTGGAGAAAGAAAACTGGACTTTTGATATAAATGGCTGGAAAAATACCCTGTGGCCTCCTGCTTTACTGAGCTGATTTTTCACAATGAGGTTTATTAGTCTCTTGCGCTGTAAAAGACACCCACATTTCACACAGTCATCCAACCACTTCCTAGTCAGATTCTGCCAAATGTGTAAACGCAAGGAAGGAAGTAGGATAGAAAGCAAGTGACAACCAATATGAATAGCAAAGCACAGTTCTTTTTTCTTACATCAACTCGACGGTAACTAATTTCAGGCTCCCCAAATGACACAGCGACAGGTCTTTAGAGGGTTGTGTCGTGGATGTAGGGCCTGACAGGGTGAGGCTAACATTGTGAGACTTTAAACAAGTGGCAGCAATATAGAATCTTCCTTCATTCAGAAAGGTCATATCTAACAGATTTTGATTTGATTGAGGGTTTATGTTCAACAAGATATAATAAAACAGAGCTCAAGTAAATAAGCTTCACTTCCAGGGGGAGAATTTCGATATGTGTAGATATGGTTTTTAATTTTAGATTCTGAGAAGTTTCCTGCATTCTTTTTTTCCTTTGACTTCCCTGTATTAAACTTGGCCTACAGAGAAAGCTTTTTGTTCCGACAAAAGGGGTTTTAAGGTTGTCTTGCTGCAGAAAATGCTGCAGTCCCTATCACGATGTGGGCTTTAATATGCTCCCTCCCCCTACTCAGTGTCTGTTTCTGAAGAATACATTCAATCCAGGGAACTGCAGAGCCTGAAACAAGAACCTGTACACACATTGTGTGTGTGTGTGTGTGTGTGTGTGTGTGTGTGTGTGTGTGTGTGTGTGTGTGGGTGTGTGTGTGTGTGTGTGTGTGTGTGTGTGTGTGTGTGGTGTGTGTGTGTGTGTGTGGTGTGTGGTGTGGTGTGTGTGTGTGTGTGTGTGTGTGTGTGTGTGTGTGTGTGTGTGTGTGTGTGTGTGTGTGTGTGTGTGTGTGTGTGTGTGTGTGTGTGTGTGTGTGTGTGTGTGTGTGTGTGTTGTGTGTGTTGTGTGTGTGTGGTGTGTGTGTGAGTATATGCATGTGTGAAGGGGAGACAGAGAGGCACGTTTGATAGCTGACATTCAGGCAAGCAAAGGACAGGCACGGCAAGACTAACGACTGATGTGGAATCTGGATTAGGGAGGAGCAATAAAATCTCACATGTCCTGACTGACTATATGTATTCCCACATTATACTAAAAATGCCTCACGTATAGTAGACGTAATCCTCTCACTCCGATATCCTGCAGATATTAGGAAGCAGAGCTTAGTGACTTTCACAAAACACCCCATGAGTGTAACACAGACACACAGGGAACCTTGAAAAAGCTTTCATATCAGTATTTCAATAGTATCCAATTGGTAATGTTGTGAGATGAACAGTTGCTTTTTCATTTGATTAGACCTAGTTAGGCAGTGTGACATGGCTGCACTGAAAGTAAGCAGACCTATTGTATATAAGAGTGATTCATGGAGTAATTGACTTGCATGCTTTTGTTGGTAGAGCCAACGGGTCAGGGTTCAATTGCACTGATGTGAAAATGTAATATTGTGATTAATTTTTGTAATACATGGTTTTCTGACACTGTAATGAGCAGCTGAGCGGAGTGAATGTGGTTGTTTTTCAATGGCATGCGAGAGCACCAGCTCATGATTCTCTCAAAGATGTAGTGCACCCTTCATCAGGGCACATGGCTGTGTTAGTTTTTTGTTTATTTTTTTCTAGTAAAAAAAAGAAATATGTAGCAGCAACTGTGTGTAGCATGAGTTCTCATCAGTTTGTCTGTGTGCGCGTTTCCTAATAAAAAGGGCTACAGTTTTTTTATCAGAAACGTTAATTATATTTATTTTTATTGTGTAATAAGTACTGTGAGTATTTTTTTTTACATAATGAAACATTAAATGCTTTTGAGAACAGCAACCTCACTCTGGTTACTTTTCAATCTTGTTCTAAACTTACACCACATTAAGATCATTTGACAACATTGCCACCGTGTGGTAACGCATTGTTATCAGGAGCCAAATCAAAGAACAACGGATCAGGCATCACACACTGAACCCACTATTTACTTTGAGTTTAAAATGTATTCTTAAATGTACTCAACAACACTTGATCATCTGGTGAATTCCCCATTGTAATAGCTGATATACTTTCATTTAAGGTGGTTAGGATATAATGAGTCAGTAATATACAGTTTAAGAACTTTAGTTGTGAAATGATCTCAGCACTGATAGTTCTTTAAATCTACTCCGCCTTTCTTCTGTGGGTAACATGGCTACATTAACCTCATTGAATACAGAGGAAATCATTTGTTGTGTACCATTATCAATTCCTGACCTCCTATTTCTGCAGGCATGCACAATTTGAATTTACCCTGTCACAAACAAATGAAGAAAATGGTGATAATATACATTTTAGACATTTATACTCTTCAAGACAGAGTGTTAATGCTTACTACCAAAAGTACATTTCAGTAAGTTGTCCTGTGGCATTTGGTGCCCCAGAGGATCTGTCACTTTTCTGCTTTGTCTGTTTGATAATCAGACCTTGTTGATAATCGAGAAACGTATGCCAATGATCATGTAATTCTGAGGTTTAAAGAAACTCAGTACATTTACTCAAGTATTGTACAGTATTTTACCCGAGTGCTTCCATTTCCTGCTACTTTATACTCATACTCACCACATTTATAGGAACATATTGTACTTTTTACAACACAGAATGTATTTTATTACTTAAGTTATTTTACAGTTAGAATGACACGAAACCAATGTTATTTTCAATACCTCCGAGCAAACAATAGACTGACTAACAATTAATGTGCTAACTTTCCAATATTAGGGGAAATTATAAATAGTTCAATTGTTTTTTTATAGTATTGATGTAATGTCATCCAGTGACTCCAAATTCACACATAATGTTATTTCTAAAATGGAAAAATAAGACATAGTGGGTTATAGTGCTTTTTCCATGTTATATTTAAAAAACATTTCAATGATAATTAGACAGTCAATTTGTATTGGAAAAGTTTGGGATTTGGAAGCTTCTTTATTTTACACGAAATATATTCGTGTAAAAATAAAATAAAGCCCTTAAATCCAATAAAAAGAGGTTTGTCGTATTTGTCCAGAGCAGTATACATATGTTGTCAATGGCTCACATGACACGGAAGCTTTAAAAAATAACGTGACTCCAAATTCCGACTATCGATTTTAGGTTTCCATACATTTAATGATAAGATGAACTTTTTACATAGATGTGTGAATTGATGCCAAAAGCTTATCACTACAGTTATGTGTGTTATCAATAAGCTTCAATTATGTCTATTCTACGTCTACTCACCTGACAAGTGAAATCAGCAGCCAAACCGCATGTCAAATGTTTAGGAATGTTAAGATAACAACATCACGTGGTGCAAGTCAGTATCGTAGACTTGAATCGATAGAGCGGCAATTTCCATTTAAACTGTATTAATAGTAACAGAAGCCGCTCCCTCCTAACAGGACAGCCTTAAACTGTTTGGCACTGTCATCATGGAAAAAACATTGTTGATTTGGTCAAAGCATTATCTAATTATTGAATGACCATGTAAGGAACTCCCTTTCTACTCTGTCCAGCTCTATGCTCTGGATACTCTGCAGTCTGCATCAGCAAAGTGTCTTGGCATCACTTCTCATCCTTCCTTTGGAGTCCATTCCGGCGTCATGTGAAAGGGGTTCACGGTGGTGTCTCTCGCCCTAGACCGGACCCTCCTCTTTCCAGCTCACCCGTCAGTGCCGACGTCCTAGCCACGGTCGTCCCGGTGGGAAGTGTCCCTGTCCTCGCTGTCCCCGGTTCATCCCGGTCGAAGGATGAGCGATCCGGGGAAGGGCAGCTCCGCCTCTGCCGCGGCCCCAGCTCCAGGGTCGGATACTTACAAAGGCTGGCTTTTTAAATGGACCAACTATTTGAAAGGGTACCAGCGGAGATGGTTTGTCCTCAGCAATGGCCTGCTTTCATATTACAGGTAAATAAAGATGCAGGGTGCAGTATTTCTCAAAGTAAACGCGGACTTGGTCGCTTCATGTGTCTGTGCATCCTTACAGCTGGCTGCCTCAGCTGGCTAGCATCAGGCTAACAGCTAGCTGTCAAACGCACAGAGTCAGCTGTCTGTTCCCTTCAAGCTGACAGTGATAAATACGTTGACGTTTTTACTTTGAATGACTCTATATTGATGAAAGGCACCAACACATATGGATACTCACACAGCAGTAATGGCAACACAACTTCTAAGTCATTAAAGTGTCAGGAAGGGGCTACAGTTGGTATGGACGTTAGCTAGCATAGTAAGCTAATTTGCTAGTCTCAGTCTGTGACAGCTGGATACTCCTCGGTATTATATATATATATATATATATATTAAACTCCTCTTTTAAATATGTTGTTAGAAAAGACAACGTCAACGACAAAATGTAATTCATGATAAATGTCATGTTTTTGGTTGCTAAATTAATTAATTAATTGCATTAGATAGAGAGCTAAAAAGCCACTCTGAATGATGACCGAAACGAGATGCAAGAGATTGTTGCTAAGATTATCATCCGTCTCTTTCACTCTGATTGACAGAGCTGTGAGCTAACCTTAGCTTTACAATAGCGTAACACCTGTGGCTGTGCTTCATGCAAGTGTTTGAAGTGTAATGAGTTTTACAGAGATTCTACATAGCACTTGACTTGTTATTGATTAATTTTAGCCCTGATACTGCAAGACCGGAAGTTTTTTTATATCATCCATTGAGACGTTTTACCAGAAAATGTGACAAGACCTTTGTCCTCCCTCTCCTTAACTTCTTTCGTTTTTAGTTACTTAATTAAAAAAAAAAACCTCATAGTTTTAATACTCTGAAGCAATCGTATACACTTCTTAAAGTCAGTCTTCCTTGGTGCTTAAGGTATGATTACAGGGCATTAAAGATTTGACTGCAACTAAAGCTGCCGTATCAGTGAATCCTTGAATAGTACAGTAGACCTGTCTCGTTTCCTTCTCAGCTGCAGGACAGTAGGACTCATGTTTCCACAGGTGTGGCAGTGGACTAGAAGCACCATAAAGCACAACACACATTTAATACTTCTGCCAAAAAACCATTCCGTGTGCCTTATCACAGAGGATTCCTGTATATTGTAAAGTGTAATGGTGGTCTGATTAGATTGTAAAACAACAACAGCAACACTTTATAATTGTCAGTCTAATGTTAACCTTACCATCAGGTGAATGAACTGTCACATGGTCTGTGGAAGTCCTTCAAGGTACAATGTCTAGCACTTTCAGAGCTGTCACCTGAGCCAGCCCCAGGATTGTGATTGTTTTGTCCCTAAAGAGCTTGGTACTTTCACATGATTTCACTGCTGGGCTTTTGCTTGTTCAACCATCTAGCTTTCTTTCACTTTTTATGCTTTTGTCAACATTCAAATCTCTGCTCTGCCATATCGCCTTCTGGGCCACGTTGTCCTTTGTGCACTTCATTAGTTCCCGTTTCAGTCTGGGTCCTGGGACTGCAGGCCAAAACATTGACTCACATTGCTTCCCTGCAGCTCCAATGGTCATACAGTAAATGCCATCTTGTAACATTAGAATTTTCAGATCAGGTCAACGCCACATTCAGAGCCCATTTCATCCCACCCTACAGCACCCTTTTGTCTTGCGTTGTCAGCAGTGCTATTTGACACAGAGGTAAAGTAGCCAACGTCCTACTCCTGCCTGAGCTTGTGGTGAAAGAAAAGACGCCTGTTGCCTCTCCCCTCTATGAATAGTCCATTATGTTGTAAGGTGACTGCTGTACCTGAAGTAAAGGTAGCCCATAGACATCTGAGCTCAGAGGCAGTGAAGCAACGGGTTGTCCCCTCCACTGATGTCTTCCTGGCAGACCGCATTGTGTGTGTCTGACTCCAGGCTTTGTGCTCCTCTGTCTGTGCCTCCTCTGCCTGCCTGTCTGCACCTCTATTGTTAGGGAAGTGACAGGGAAACAGACAAAGTTCCTTGTCCTAAAATATAATGACTGAAACATAGAGAATATTCCAGTTCTTCTACTAATAATAATAATAGGACCGCTCACATTTTCAATATGACTTATCAGTTGTTTGATTTGCGATGTTCAGTATTTGTTTGCCCTTTTTTTAAATGCCAGTTTGTATTACTGATACATCTATCAATAAGAGGTCTAGCCCATAACCTGATAGAGATGTTCCATTCCCAAGGCCTGCTGTTTTCAGAGCAATGGCTTGACTCTCCAACTCGTCGCTGAGACGCCAAAGGGCAATGGAGGACGGTAATCGATGCTTGGACTCTGGGCGGACTAACACACTCAGCACTTGCGCCTGTTTAAGTGTAATGAGTTTTACAGAGATTCAACATAGCACTTGTTATTGATTAATTTAGGCTCTGACACGGCAAGACTGGCAGTCTTTTAGACTTCATCAGCCATGAGGTCTTTTTTGTCTTAATCATCCAAAAGAGCCTAATCGAGCCGTTTCACCAGAAAATGTATCAAGATCTTTGTCCTCCCTCTCACACTGAGCTTCTTTCATTTTTAATTCCTTAATTTAAAAGAAAAACTCAAAGTGGTTATACTCTGAACCAATCTTACTCACTTCTTAAAATCAATCTTCCTTGGTGCTTAAGGTATGCTTACGGGGCATTAAAGGTTTGAGTGCAATTTATAGCTGCCATATCAGTGACTCCTTTTATAGTGCAGTAGGCCTGCCTCGTTTCCTTCTCCGCTGCAGGGTAGTGACTAGATAATACATTTAAATGCTCAGTGGTGGTAAGGTACCTTTTTGTGTCCCTTTGGAGAGTCAGGTTGTTGTGTTTTGGCTCGCTCAGCTCGTGGGTGCAGGGTGGCGTGATGAGAGAGTGGTCAGCTCGCCAGCTTTGGGCCCAGCTGGAGGGAAGAGCCTGTCATGAACCCTGTTCACTAGCCTGGCACATCAGCTGTGTGTGTGTGTGTGTGTGTGTGTGTGTGTGTGTGTGTGTGTGTGTGTGTGTGTGTGTGTGTGTGTGGTGTGTGTGTGTGTGTGTGTGTGTGTGTGTGTGTGTGTGTGTGTGTGTGTGTGTGTGTGTGTGTGTTGTGTGTGTGTGTGTGTGTGTGTGTGTGTGTGTGTGTGTGTGTGTGTGGTGTGTGTGTGTGTGTGTGTGTGTGTGTGTGTGTGTGTGTGTGTGTGTGTGTGTGTGTGTGTGTGTGTGTGTGTGTGTGTGTGTGTGTGTGTGTGTGTGTGTGTGTGTGTGTGTGTGTGTGTGTGTGTGTGTGTGTGTGTGTGTGTGTGTGTGTGTGTGTGTGTGTGTTGTGTGTGTGTGTGTGTGTGTTGGTTTTCTTGTCTTACGTGTCCCTTCTGTTTTCAGCACTTTCCCCAGCGTTTCTCTGGCTCTCCATGACTTGTGATATTTCCGCCCCCAGCCTCTACAGAACCTTTCTACGTTCTCATGCTCTGAGTACTGTGTTGTATTTCCTCTGCCTGTCTGTGTACAAATCTCCGCATGCTTTGTGGCTGTCTGTCGTGTGTTGTTCACTGGTTGTTGTTCTGTCATTACATGCTCCAGATCGGTGGATTTGTGTTTTATCAGGATATGTGCACAAGGGACTGACAGGTAAAGCACTGCAACTCTTTCCTGGCTCGGCTCAACATGCAGGACCCTCTCTCATGTCCTCAGCTGCACTCACCTTCACCCCCTCCCCTCCTAGTGCCTTAATGTCCCTGTAGTCTCTCTCTTTCCCAGCTTTTGTGGTTTCCTTGTCTGTTTATTTCATGGCCTTTGCATGGCCTTGGCTTCCCACAGGGCCGAAACGATCAGTGTGGACCTCATCTTACTCGTCAGCAGCACCTTCGGTTTGTTGACCCACTTACAGACAGGACTCGGCAGCTCTTGCTCTGCTTGGCAAGTCTGGAAAGAGCGATGTTGAGGGTCCCTGCCTCTCTCCACACGGCCACACACGGCTCCAGTGCGATCTTGTCTGCGGCGCTGATGTGCACCAAGCGCCGCCAGAAGAGCAGAACACTGAAATGCTTGTTGTGGATTGGCATTATAACAAGACTTGACTTCAGCAAGTAGAAGCGGTGTGAGGGAAATCACTGCCTGGCAGAACTTATTAATGCACTTCAACCTCTGACTAAATAAGGCAATGTCAAAGTAGACTGGTGTAGTGTTAAGAGCTGCTGGCTGGCAGCTGCCGGTGGCAACAAAGGCTCACTGAAGACGGATAAACGGATGTTAGCACCCGCAATTGCAAATGCATCCACACGACTGCATGGCTGCATGCTTCAGTTTGGGTGGGTTCTGAGTATGGATGGGCTATCATGTGACCCTGAAGGTTGAGGATGTGTTGGTTTAATTTTTAAACTACCAGCACAGCATGTGATTTTGCTGATTACTTGCTGCTCCGTGGATGAGGGTCTTAATCAGCCAAATCAGCTGTCTGTGGTGGTGGTGGGGGGGGGGGGGGGGGGGGGGGTGACTGCATACGCTCAGCTCTCTGCGGGGCATGATGTTCCATCCCTGCTCTGAAACTAGGCTTCTCTCACCGTGACAGGATGACAGGCAGCCAGCTTCCCACCACACAATTATAAACGTTTCTCTGGACTTTTAGTTATTCTCTTTTATCCCAAACCCCATTAAAAACAAAAAAAAAACAGTTCGACAGTGTTTTTTGTTCTGGATGTCTTACAGAAGTATTAACATTATTCTGCAGGTGTTTCATTGAAAGAGGTTTTGGAAACATGCACACTATAAATTGGCTTACACACACAGTGCATATTCTTAACGCTCTTGCTCTTGCCCTTTGTTCTAATCTCTTGCTCTGCTGCTTTGGCTCTCTTCCCTGCTCTCTTTTTCTACCACCTCTCACACTGTGGTCTCTCTTTGTTCACGCTGCTATTCATTGTTTGGTTTGGTTTGCTACAGAGGCTTGGAGGCAGACAATGGCCTTGTTATCTAGACTACTGTGGTCCACTGACTGCAACAGTTGGTGTTACTGGACTAGGCTGCACAGAATACCCAGAATTCAGCACACTGAGCGAATAAGAAGTTCAAACTATCCAATTTGTTTACCATTTGCTAATAAAGGTTAGGTTCTCATGATTAGATCGGTGTGATACAGAGAAGGTCTGTGTTTAGTTTAACAACCGAGAGCATCCTCTGCTGCTTGGCTTTCAAAGTGAGTCCTTGTAATATAATGTGTGGCATTTCTCTGTCCCTCCTTGCCTCCCTGCTTGCGCTTATTGGCCATAATAGTATCAAATGCACGTTCCTACATGCAATACTCAAAGTGACAAACGGCAGTGTACAGTTCTTTATGTGTTCTCTCTCTGTCTCTTTCTCCGCCTGGTGTTTTGTCGCAGGACGCAGGCAGAGATGGCCCATACTTGCCGAGGAACAATCAACTTGGCCACGGCGCACATCGACACAGAGGACGCCTGCAACATTGTCCTGAGCAGTGGCGGCCGCACTTACCACCTCAAGGCTAGCACAGAAGTGGAGCGGCAGAGATGGGTCACGGCACTGGAGCTGGCCAAAGCCAAAGCCATCCGCATGATGAACGATCAGTCTGGTAAGGGCAGCTATGGAACATTGAAGCTGCGTGCAAGGCTTGTTAAAGTCTAAGTGCGAGCTGTAAGAGCGAAGCACACCCATGAGGCACATATATGCACGGTCAGGTCCTTGACAAATAAAGGCTTGGGTCAACATACCAGAGTGTTTATCTTGTGTTTGACTTTGTTAGATCCAGAATCCAAGGTGAACAGTGAGTTAGGGACAACATGGTCCTCAGGCCAGCCTGGATATTTGGGTTGTATTTCATTTTCCTGTGTCCCCTGACATTTGATAATCAGCACAGTAGGAGTCCCATCTCACTTCCTCCTCTTCTTTGATGTAATTCAGATTCCACTTTAAGCCAGGAGGGGGCAGCGCCGTCTGCTCAGTTCAACAACAAACCTGCGCATGCCAATGGTACTGCGAACAAACTGGGCTTGCATTCAGCCCGACAACAGAGCACTCTCATTTCCAAGGCAACTTATTCTTCCGTGGTTGTATTTGGTGTTGCAGGTCAAAGGCTGTGGGAAAAGCCAGAGAGGACCGTTTTTTCTTTGCTTTTCACCCTGGCATCGTCCTAAAGCCTCTCGTCTCACTCTTTTGCAGACTAGGTCTACAGAGACTGAGACAGGATATATATTCTCCTGGCCTCCATTTTAAATTCAGATCACTATATATAGACGGTGTGACAATGGAAGTGCTTTACAGCTCACCACTCCAGAAAGCAGGAGAGGAGAAGTATGTTTGTATTCTGAAAAAGTCAGGCTACCCACCTACTGGATGTGTCTGATTGGTTTTGTGTGTCTGTATTCTCCTTTCTGTAGCAGGTTGTGTTCAGCCGCAGTACACCCATACCAATGTTTTTTATTGAGGGTCTTCTCTTAATTCATTGCTTGTTCTGATCACCTAACCTTGATCATCAAGTACAGAAGAAATACAGAAATATAAAACATGCACACGTATTTATGAATCAGCTCATTGTTTGTATTTTGTTAAAGCTTTTACTTAGTTACTGCTTTAATGCTTACCTTATCTTAAAGAATATATGTGTGTCTTTCTGTTTTCTAACCATTCCTTTCCCATCTGCTCTGGCTGTGGAAGGAGGACGCTGTGTGAGTCCGTCTTCAGAAAACTAATGATCTGTTAATGCTATTGAAGGTATTGAAGGACGTCGGTGGTTTTGCCATCCGGCTCTTTGAGAGCATCCTGTTCCTTGTCCACACAAACAAGCATCAGTGACATTCATTAACCTGCCCTCCTCTCTGTCGGGGGAACAAAGAGCTCCCATTGATCTCCTCAGCTCAGAGGAGGAGCAACGTGTACACCCAGGGCACATCATGTGTGTACACAACTTCCTATCCTTGATGTGGCTGGTTGTTTTATAACCTCGTCTAATTACACTTCTTTTCATCTTATCCCTAGAAGAAGGTTTTAACATCTTAAATCCCATAATGCACTGTGAGACTTCAGCTCTGATCTATGGGTATCTTGTTGCCTGTGAGCCATGAGCTGAGTTTCTTTGTACAACTGACCTGAACCCTAAATCAATCACTTGCACTTCTCATTAGTACTGATGCCACAGCTCTCCATGTATAATCCTTTCTTTTAAATGGCCTGTTATTCCATGAGTGCCTCTCATTCACATTTGGTTTAAATTGGATTTCAAGAAGCTTACCAAAGCTTGTGTCTGCAGTCGGAGGCATACATCCAGACGGTGGCAGTGTTTCCCTTCCCTTTAACCTGCCCTCTCTCATGGGTTAGCTTGCCATGTCTTTGCCACTGCTTGTGAAAGTGAGCTTGTAGCCCTTGAATCACTGGTAAATGTGCGAGTCTGACATGTCATTCTTTTTTAACTCAACACCAAAGCTGAACGTTTGCTTGGATGGTGAAGTGAGGTGGAAACTGAAATGGTTAAGTGCAAGTTGGTGTAAAAAGTGCCGGAACCAGTCATCTAGTCAGTGCTTTCTCTTGATGACACATAGAGCTGAGGAAGGCAGGAGCATAACAGCAGCAGCGACAGATCCAAGCTCTCTGTTTGCACTATTGTCAGTTCTTAAAGAACAGTACATCGATCAGCAAGTTAATATTTGGGGCCGTCCTGGTGTCACTTGTTACATATGGTCGTCACGTACATATTGTCGAGGTTCTGATACTGTCATGATAACATTTTGTCGTCTTGCTTGTTATTTTCCTCTTAATTTCTCCTTTTGTTTGACATCCCATCTGGAATTCTCCCTTTACAGTAAAAGGTAGGGTTCCATGGTCCTGATGCAGAATATCCGGATTAGGACCGTATCATTAAACAAGTCGGATGTTTTCCCTCCCCTCCTGGTCCTGGCTGTCTCCCTGTTTTCCCCCTACATTGCTCTTCCTCTCTCTCTCCCGGCCCCCTCTCACTCGATGTCTGGTTTTCCCGCCCCCCTCTCTCTTTTCCTCCCTCTCCTGCTCTCTCTCAGAAAGCCGCTTTCCTTCTAGCGGGGGTTTTAGTTCTGAATGGAATGACCTAATGCTTTACTCCAACTCTGCACTCGTGTCTTTTGCTTAAAACATTGCTGGTGTCCTGCAAAGTCTGGAGGGAGACATAGAGACGGGATAGGGCGCAGTTTTTCTTTTGTAAGTACCCAGGTTTCTTTCATCCATGCTGTGTTCAGGAATGTGCGTGTGTGTTTGTCTGCATACATGTGAGTTTGGTTAAAAGGATTAGATTCTTGGGTAAACATGTTGGTGCTTACATTCCAGTACATTGGTGATTAGTGACTGGTTTCTATTGGAAAAGTCAAGTATGTCTGTGATTTCTATTGTTAGACAAAGGGTGTTTACAGTAGTCTGTCCCAGAGCTCATTCAGGTGACGAACTGTGCTTTGAAATTGGAAAACATTGCATTATTATTCAAGAGGTTTGCTGGTAAAATGTAAAAAGGTTTCTCCTTTAACAGTGAGTTAAAGACATTGTTATGAAATTATTATATTGTTTTGCTATTTTTCCGATGTGATGGGGATGAATCTCTCTGTGCAGGGAAGGACACTCTGGTTCAATGGCTGAGAGTGTAAGATTATTTGTATTACTCCAGTCAACATGGCAATACATATTGATTTAGAAATAAATGTATTCCAATGACAGATGTAGGAAACTAAGTCTGACTTGTATCGAACAGATTCCCACCTATCTAAATGTAGCCAAAAACCCATTTGAAAGTGTTGTATTTTCACATTTTGTCGCACTACTTCCCTAGCTTTTGAAAGGATGTTATAATACGACGGACGGCGTATTTATCCTCATCAATTAGTTCCGCCGCGGCCGTGTGTCGAATCGCTTGCCCTTGTTTATCTTGGATGTAAAAGAGTGTGGCGACCGAGGCCAATTAGCAAGTTACGCTCAATCCCCAATGACAAGCGAGATGGAAACGAAGAGAGGAGAGTGAGTGTTGTAACATAACAAACTAGCAAAATCGAACAGCCAGAAATGATTGCATGGGTTTTGTGTAATCCTTTATTTTGCCAGCCTTATTTAGGTTCCTTTCCCATTTCTGTGTCAAACCTGTTGTGATTGTAACAGCCAAGTGTCGCTGAGAAGTCAAACCTTTGCTGTCTTTAGAAATAACAGAGGCCTGATTTCTGAGGATAGAAATATAATCATAATAATTACATATTGTATGCACGTTTGTCACAGTGTGTCTTTGTGATTATGTGTGGGAGCTTAAGCTAGATAATTAGGTTTGAATATTGTGCTGGTGTTAGTCTTGCTTCTTGTATCTGACATGGCTGCTTTGGTATAATAAACCATTGTTTTCCTCAAAGAAATGGATCTATATGTTGTGCTAATCATGACTCTATACAGTCAGTGGTCAGCACCATTATAGCACTGCATTGTTATGGGACTCACACTGCATTACTGGCATTATTGAACTATCCTTTGTTGTACTGGGACTATTTCTGTGCTCTGTGTGGCTCCATGCAACCAGTGACCTGCTGTACGCTGCATTAAACCTGAACCCATTATAAGCTCACATTGTGTCCCAGCGACCGCCACATTTTCTCTCCGTCACTCATACTGTATTTTTTCGGCAGAAAGGAGAAGTTGAGAAATTGAGAATGTGGATTATAGGCAGGTTATTATAATATAAATGAGTTCAATATTGTGCAGGGACAATAAAGGTTCAGTATTCAGGTTTTCCATTTTCCTCTTCTTTCAGCCTCTTAGTGGATTTCGATTTGGTGACACCCTTTCTCATTGGTCAGGTGTACGAGTGTTGAGTGTTTTTCCACAGCCATGCGCTCTGCCACACTGGGCTGGAAACTGATTGGCTATTGTTGAAAATCCACAACAGTTTGAATCTCCTTTTTCTACAAGTAATATTATTTTAAACATTTGATGCAACACGCAGTGAGTGATAAAACATTATTTCTATTATATTTATGAAGTATCCCTTCTAGCCAGCTCTTTGTTTATAACAGTAAACACGATGACAGGATGTTTGCGGTTCAATGGTTTCTTTCCTTTCCTTTTGTGTGTGTGTCTTTTCTTTTGGCTAGAGCTGCATCAGGCACCATGCTCGCATCAATTTGACCGTTGGTTTTTATCTCCATGGCGGCTGGTCTGTGTCTTTACATTGTCCATGATGGGGATATACAGTATATACAATATGAAAAACATGGTTCATGGTGGGCATGAAACTCGTTCAAGGGATGGAGAAAGAGGTCACTCCTGTGGGTGAGGACGGTGGTGTGAAGTAGGATTATTTTGTTCCTTCAGTTCACAACACTTGCTACAATGCTCAAAATGTATGATCATTTTGAACCAAGCTTGAGTGGACACAACTTAGATGGGAAAACACATTTTATATTCCCACCGTTGGGCATTTATTAGTTTGGAAACTTTTTGGCACAACAGTATTTTCCATTGTTAATGTACTTTTTAGAATATGACCTGGTGCGTAAATAAATAAAAACTGTACTCTGACAGATTATATTTAAGACATTTACTCTAGAAACAGCATGTATATGAACCTATAGGATAATA